GGACAGTATAGTGAATAAAGTAGGGAATAGCGGTCCGAATAGTAATAGAGGATAGACTAGAAATAACGATCCGAATAGTAATAGAGGATTTACTAGAAAGTGCGTTTCCTCTATGGTCACGTGATCTACTTAATTCAATAATAGGATCGCTTGTGTTTGCTGACCGGCGATCTATGTTCAAATTCAAGTGCAACAATTTATTCCTATGTAACAGTTTTTTTATAAATGCTTTTACTCAGCAAAATGACAGTAAATTATATAACACTATCAACTATGCACGTAAGTGGTGTTCTTATTTAATGTAGGATTTGTTAAAGAAATATTTCAAAATATTCAATGGTTAAAGATAAAATCAACACAGCAAATTTTTGCCATAGGAAAGAAAAAAGATGAACTGAAACCAAATTAAAACTTTTATTCGCGCTGACTGTATTTGAACCTAATACTAGAATTCAAGGTTCTTGTGTGAGTATTTTTTTTTTTTTTTAGCACACTGCAATGACTGATTTTCTACATTTCTCTGTTGACGAGGCTTACAAAACGCTGACTGTATCGCCTTCAGAGAGGGTATAAAAACCTAAACCAAAGAGCCACCTTCCGAGAGATAACTTGCAAACTCCAGTATAAAGCGACCAATATCTAACCTTTTGAAACCGGATCTTTTTGACTCGAACTCAATCTATATCTAACTTTGACCCAAGTGTCAGCCGAACCTAATACATTAGAGATTTGTCGTTTACCACTTCTATTCAACATTAAATATTCTACCAAATATTTGTATGTCATTATATTACCCAAACTAATTTTACATTTTTAATTTCTTACCTAAACTAAGGAGGCACGGTGGAGTAATGGTAATGGTTAGCGGCTCGGATTGAGGAATCGGAGAACGGAGTTCAAATTCCAGTCGAGTCCATTACATTCACTTATGTACTAATACCCTTGGGAAAGGGATGAATCCTCTATTTCAACCCCCCACCAGCTATGATAAATAATAGAAATAAATAGAAAGATAGACCGGGTTATAGCCGAAGAAAGAAATGGCAACCTACTGAGGGAAAAAAATCTGCATCGTCAGTCTTGTATCGAAAGAGGCATGATCGCCTAAGTGTTTATCACGCATGACACATAACTGACCGACCTAAACTTTATTTCATGTAATTTCAGTTATGTGCATTAAAATTCCGAGAGAAAAAAGCTTTCAGCATAATAAACATTGTCCCACAACAAGACGACTGTTCCAGTATCTGTCTATAAACATGGCACATGGAAGTAGAACAGTCTACCCCAGTGAGCGAAATAAAGGGTTCAGTTCGACATTCCAACCACCTGAAGAAGGCCATAGCGTATAACGGCCGAAACGTTGTAATAAATATGGCGACAAAGATGAGGAAAATAGCCCGAACAATGTAAATAGTATAGAAGTTGCCTATTATTTATTAGTAGTTACAAATACGTTATTTTTTTTCAATTTCCTTCTTTCATTTATTTACCAATTCCATAAATAACGTCATATATTAAGTCTTTACTTACCTGTGGAAACTTTCTACCTCCGAATGAGTCATTATACATATTTTCCACATTATTATTGCTGTCCTCCGGTCTTTTCACCTCCCGGTGTTGTAATCAGTCCATAAAGACACGCGATTTAGCCAGTGCAAGGAAGATAACACTGCCAGAAAAAAATAGTCGAATTGTTTGTTTTCCTTCGACATGGTTTGGAATTCAGTTTTCCTTCTCTTAGATTGGTTGCTGTCAAAGGTTATACCTCACAGTCTATCCTGCTACTGAACCTTTGACCTGGGTGGTGAGAGAAGGTATAGATGCCTGACTTTTCCAAAGGACATTTATGGGAAAGGAACTTAAGCCAGACTCGTCTATTCCACTAGCCGCTATATTTCTACCTTCAATAGACAGATTCGTTCTTCCTTGTCCTATTCCTTTGACAAAGTTACCATATATTTTCTATTTCCTTTGTAAATATTCTGTGAAGACAGTAAAAATAAAGTAAATTCTAAAAAAAGAAGTCACAATGGCGTAAAAACAAAATCGAACAAAAAGCAGGTAATTCTAAACATTTTACCTTACATAACTTTCACTTGTTTCACACCCATCATGACGGCCTTTCCCTCCGTTTTTCAAATCGTATGGTGGAGTAATTGATAGCGGCTCGGATTACGTGCTAATACCCCTGGGAATGGTATGAATCCTCTTCCCCGCCATCTATGGGTAAATAGTACAGACCGGGTTCTATAGCCTTGGATGGTAACTAGTCTACCGCAGAAAGAAATGGCAATATACTGCGGGAAAAACTGACTCGTCAGTCATGTATTGAAAGATACATGATCGCCTTAGCGTGTATCACGCATGGCACCTAACTGACTGATCATTGTTCCGCGTAGGACAATTATTTTTGAACCAATGAAAATCAAAAAAATTTTTTTTAAATTTAAACTCCCCTCACTATTTATCTCTTCTTTTTCGATTTTATTTCTATTCTTTAATTTTTCTCTCCTTTTTCTGCTCTTAATTTCTTGCTCAACTCTTCTTTTTATTGTCTTTCTCTCTCTCTCTCTCGTCCTCACTTTTTGCTTCTCCTTCTAATCTTCTTTCGCTTCCCCCATATCTCTTTTATATCTCCTCTTCTATCTTATCTCCCCCCCCCTTTTTCTCACACACTCAATTTCTTCTTCGCATACATCTCTCTCTTCTCATTTCCCCACAAACTTTCCATTCACTTACTGTATTTATTCAGTTTTCATTTCTGTTCCTCACAGTCGTTTTTTTTTCCAGTCTCTTATTCCCCTTTCACTTTTCTCCTAGTCTATCTCTTTATAACTCTTTCTCTCCATCTCATTGTCCTCTTCTTTCTTTCTCTTCTCTCACGTCTCTCCATTTTATCTCTCCTCTCGAACGCCCTCTTCTCTCGTCTCATATTTTTTCTCTATTTTACTTTTTACACTTTCTTTTTAGTAACTCCCCACCCTTTTATATAGCTCTCCCCATTTTCCTTTCATTCAATGCTTCCTTCATACTGAAAAGCTCGAATTCTCACAGTGCTTCGCCATCTTTTAATTTCCTCAGTGACACACAACCTAATGTATTTTTCCTTCGTTTTATTATCGTTAACATCCGAATCATATTACATATGTTTCTTAATCCCATTCATTAGTTGTTTATCATCATTTGAAAGCCTTCAACAAAGGCAGTCTACTTCTTTTTAACGCTGAAATATGTTTGGCAGGAGTCTCTAAAGTTCGACACCTTCGTTGCAACTGACGATTTGCTCAGAGTTACAAAAAGCTAGATCGAGCAGCTTTCAAATCTTTTGAACCACAAACCCGAATAAGCATAACTATAAATACGCAAATATATATATCATTTGTCCGTTCATTGAATACTTCTGCCATAACTAGTCTGGTGCCCCTGCTATTAATCTCGAGGTTCTTGACAAAATCCAAAGGATCTGTATGTAATCTATCTCGACTTCAGTCACTTTCTCACCGACATAGCGTCGCTTCTCTACAAGTATTTTCATGACTACTGCTCAGACACTCTTTTTGCCCGGTGTCCCGACTACATGAATTTAAACGTACTACTACATTGGCATCTAGGTCCCACCAGTTTACTGTCGAAATAATTAAAATGCAACCGCCACTTCTACTCCAACAAATTATTTTCTCGTACTTTCCGCCTGTGGAACTCCCTTCCGTTTACTTGCTTCCCTGATAAATACAGTCTACAAAAATTTAAATACAACATCAATCGCCATCTTCTGTCATCTTGAATCCTGTTCACCTTTTGTCCTTTCTTCCATCCTCCAAATACTCAGTATTTTCTCCCACTTTCACTCTTTGTAATCACCTGCATCTTACTGACATTCCCGCCTTGCTTGGGGTGAAATGATTACAATTATATTATATAATTGAACGACAAATGAAAAAAAAATCCTGTGTTAAGAGTTTCGTGTTCCGAAAGCATTTTTTTTCAGCCTAAATATTTTTATTGATGGAATCATATATGTAAAAAGACGAGAACGAAATACAACAAACTTCGGTTAAAATTATACATCGAGAGAAGTGCTGAAGATACATGGACGCTTAAGTTTAAATTTCAGGCGAAATTTATAAGGACGAGACAAGTAAGATTTGTTTATTTTGACATTCAATTACCCACCATTAGTCTAATATCGTATGTGTATATTGTCCACCCCCCCACACACACACATATATATATATATATATATTATACTATATATATTTCTAAAGAAGTAATGGATTTTTTTTACTTATTAATTCGATAGATTCTTATCGCTTAAACGTTATTTTAAAAAAATAACGTTTAAGCGATAAAAATCTGCCGGATAAAAAAATCAAGGCTTCCAGTAAAAAATCCATTGCTTCTTTAGAAATTGCTTTGTTTACGTTTAGATACGAAACTAAGCAGATATGAAATTGAGAATCTATGATGAGAAGGATTTCGATTAAAGGAACTGTTCAGCTTTACCTCATCAGCAATGTCCATCGTGGTTGACTCAGTATAAATACGTCGAATCTAACGACGGCTTCCTCTACCAAGAGGGTGAAGGTTCAAATCCAACCGCAGGGCATATATTTATTTTTAATAAGATTTCTCGAATATTTAGGCCTATAGACGATAATATAGTTTAAAAATAAAAACTGTTTCTACTTAAATATAGGTAGACACTAAAAATAACTTAATAAATGTGCGTGTGTGAGAGCGAGAGAGAGAATGCATATGTACGTGGGTTTATTGGAAGGAGAAAAAATAATTGATCAATGACAGAGAGAAAAGTACTGAGAGAGCAAGGTTTTGTTTTGTATCAATATTCTAAGTACAGTATAGCATAGAATAAACCAAAACGATGTAAAATGTGATGATGGTCAGCCTACTGAACTGTCTTAAAAAGCGGTAATAGTCGTTATTTCTTGCCTGGGTTTGAACAATGACCTCTGACACTGGTGGTAAATATGTAATTATCATAGCCGTGTGTCAGACACTTCGTGCCAAAGTATAAGTGAAAAGATAAATCGTTGTAAAATATTTGGGGCCACAGGTGGATCTACATATGCGCCTGTGTGATTAAAAGAGAACGTGAAGAACCAAGGGAGAGAAATAATTGTTGGGTGGGTGTGTACGAGAAAGACAGCAAGAACTTTAATATAAGAGAAAGAGAGAGAGAGAGAGAGAGAGAGAACAAGAAAAAGAAAGGACTGAAATGGAGAGCGTGAAAAAGAGAATTTATGTGTGTGAGTGAGTGAGAGAGAATGAATTTGAGAGCGTGCTTCTGAGAAAGAGGTAAAAAGGAACTTATATGAGAGAGAGAGAAATACATAGGACTAAAGTGGATAGAAAGAGAGGTATCTTAGCTGTATGTGAGAGAGAGAAACGAAAGTGTGCGTTTGAGAGGAGAAACAGGTTCAAAGAATTTAAACTCGTGTTTAAGAGAGAGGACTAAAGTATTTCTGTAAGAGAAAAAAAGTTTGTACAGTGTAACCCGGATATAAGAGAGTTGTCGGGACCGGAGAAGAAGTCTCTTATATCCGGGTTTGGTCTATTTTATATACATTAACACAGGCTCTAATTTGGGACCGGAGAAAATCTCTTATATCCGGGTTTCTCTTATATCCGGGTCTCTTATATCCGGGCTACACTGTATATGAAAGAAAAGATAGATGTGTACGTGAAAAAAAATATATAAGCAAAAATTATCTAAATATATTTTGGTATCTTGTTAAACTAGAGGGTCAGTTCTAAAATCTATTATAAAAAATTGATTCTCTGTCCACCACAATCTACGTGTGACTTTGCATGCGCGCGTATATAATATATATTTATGTCGATCATGCGTGTGTTTAATTTAAATGTGCTTATGCTATTTAATGTGCACACAATTTGACTAGATTAGAAATAAGTCAGTGGAATAATATATTACCCGATCGTTCAGTCAGAAGAGCTAATTTCCTTTTTGGTCTGGAAAAAACCTTATGGATAACAGGATAAGATTACAAGTCAGACTGTATATACGCAGTTTTTCAAATAGGTACAGAACTAGTATATAATAATATACAAAGGGGCACTTCGACGTGGTGTAATGGTTAACAAGCTGGTCTCGTTTGATCAATTACGGCTGAATAATTAGGTCACATCTAATATACGCTTAGAAAAGTCACTATAATAATATACAAAGTTCGTTGTTCTACAATTGGAACTGACATAATTCGCTAATATTTAAACCATATAAGCGCGCCAATTTTTATATCTTGTTTAATTAACTTGCAGTATGCAGCTTCTCGGCGCCCCATGTGATTGCCGCAGGGAGTAATGCACTTGAGGGAAACTGTTTCGAATTCGTCGTTTTCTTTATCTTGCATTTGCATTTTTGGCATTTTGAGATAAACTCGACAGTAACAAAAGAACTTTCTACAGGGACACACGCCAACTTCGTTGTATCTTCTTTTTTTTGTATATTCACTGGACACACTATAGTTAAATATATCGCTTTAATTTTTTATTTAATTTTACCATACTTGGAAAGAAACTCCTATTTCGTTGCAAAGAAATTTATTCAAATGTGTTCACTATCTAAATATATGCATTTTTAACTAATCGACATAGAAGAAATGCTGCTAATTGCTTGGTTGCATTCTGATATTATTTTGTTAAAAGCTTTTCGTGTTTATAAATATATCCACTAAACTGGGAAAAATCATGTGATTGAACCAATTCTTTTCTCGTAAAGTTGCCTTTAAATAATGAATCTATTTTTTTTTAATCATTTCCCTCCAAGTAGATAAATAAACCAACGAAGACGCAAGGAGTCACTGTGTTTGAAAGAATACATATAAAAAAAAAACACACACTATTAAGAAGTGAGAACAATAAAAGAACAAGCATTAAGACAGAAGATAACGAATGACTTTGCAATTAAATTTAAGATCAAATTTAACTGGAGAACAAGAAGATCAGTAGAGACTTGCACAATAGCAACAATTACTAACACTATTTAACGAATCTACTAAGAGAAGACAATAATCCTTTTTTTTTCCTCCCAAGGCCAATGTACCGATGGCATATGTATTCATACCTGGGATAAGAATGATCGAGAACATCCTATTCCACAGTATTCCAAGAAGCAGAACTCAAGATAAACCTTTCCAAAATAAAAACTATTGTTGCTCTTTAATAATGTTTCTGTTTTCTAATTCTTTACTGCCTTGTTAGGGGTAAATTCAATTAAGAGGAGAAGAAAAGAAGAAAAGACAAAATGAAAGAAAAGAAAAGAGAAAGAAGAAGAGAGAAAAGAGAAAGAGAGAAGAGAGAAGAGAAAAGAGAGAGAGAAGAGAAAAGAGAGAGAAGAGAGAAGAGAGAAGAGAGAGAAGAGAGAAAAGAGAAGAGATGAGAAAGAAGAGAAAAGAGAAGAGAGAAAAGAAGAGAAGAGAGAAGAGAAGAGAAGAGAAGAGAGAGAGAGAAAGAGAGAGAGAGAAAAGAGAGAAGAGAGAAAAGAGAGAAGAGAAGAAAAGAGAAGAGAGAAGAGAAAAGAGAGAAGAGAGAAAAGAGAGAGAAGAGAAAAGAAGAGAAAAGAGAGAAGAGATGAGAAAAGAAGAGAAAAGAGAGAAGAGAGAAGAGAAGAGAAAAGAGAGAAGAGAGAGGAGAAAAGAGAAAAGAGAGAGAAGAGAAGAGAGAGAAGAGAAAAGAAGAGAAGAGAAAAGAAAGAGAAAGAGAAGAGAAAAGAGAAAAGAGAGAGAGAAGAAAAGAAAGAGAGAAAGAAGAGAAGAGAGAGAGAAAGAGAAGAAAAAGAGAGAGAAGAAAAAGAAGAGAGAGAAGAGAAAAAAGAGAGAGAGAAGCGAAAAGAGAGAGAGAAGCGAAAAGAGAGAGAGAAGCGAAAAGAGAGAGAAGAGAAAAGAAGAAGAGAGAGAAGCGAAAAAAAAGAAAAGAGAGAAGCGAAAAAAACGAAAAGAGAGAAGCGAAAAAAACGAAAAGAGAGAAGCGAAAAAAACGAAAAGAAAAGAGAGAGAAGAAAATAGAAGAAAAAGAACGAAAATAGAAAAAGAGAAGACAGAGAGAGAGAGAGAGAGAGAGAGAGAAGGGAGGGGAGAAAAAAAGAGAAAAAAATATAACCTAAGATGAATATATTTCAAACTACTTTATATAAAAGTTTAGGAAGGAAACCCCCATATTGAAAAGAGCGAAAAGAGCGACTGGACTTGAGAAAACTATTTTCCTGAAAATCGTTTTAAAAGAAAGATTTTATAAATTAAAACAGATCGTCGTACTGTCTGCTCGGTCAAGTATGTTTGAAATAGAAGGCAAAATGCTTGAACCAAAAACGCATAGACACTTTAGTGAACGAATTTATAAAAGTGTCAATATCTAACTATTTATACGTATACATATATCAGTCTCCTACCGCCATAAAGATGCTTCCCTATATCTTTTCTATAAAAACTTTCATGGTAATTTGTTCGGGTGAGTACTCTGCTATGGTACCTACACTTTATGAAGTTGAGTGCAGTATTATATTGGCAACAAGGTTTCATCAACTGACTTGAATTGGATATATGTTACCGTAGGATCTATGCTAACAATTTTTCTCGTACTTGTGGCTTGTGTAACTCTTTTCCGACTTCATGCTTTCCCGCCATCTTGGATCTTCAAAAATTGAAATGCAATCTCAATCGTTATCTACTGTCTTCCTGATTACTCTTCTTTTGCTCTCGCTCCTTTGTAATATTTCTTTTTCACACAACAACCTCGTGTCTTACTGCCTGGGTTGGGGTAAATTCGATTAAGAAAAAGAGAAAGAAAAAGAGAAAGAAAAAGAGAAAGAAAAAGAGAAAGAAAAAGAGAAAGAAAAAGAGAAAGAAAAGAGAAAGAAAAGAGAAAGAAAAAAGAGAAAGAAAAGAGAAAGAAAAAGAGAAAGAAAAGAGAAAGAAAAGAGAAAGAAAAAGAGAAAGAAAAGAGAAAGAAAAAAGAAAGAAAAGAGAAAGAAAAGAGAAAGAAAAAGAGAAAGAAAAGAGAAAGAAAAGAGAAAAGAAAGAAGAAAAAAAGAGAAAAAAGAAAAGAAAAGAGAAAGAAAGAGAGAAAGAAAGAGAGAAAGAAAGAGAGAAAGAAAGAGAGAAAGAAAAGAGAAAGAAAAGAGAAAGAAAAGAGAAAAAAGAGAAAGAAAAGAGAAAAAAGAGAAAGAAAAGAGAAAGAGAAAAAAGAGAAAGAAAAGAGAAAGAGAAAAAAGAGAAAGAAAAGAGAAAGAGAAAAAAGAGAAAGAAAAAGAGAAAAGAAAAGAGAAAGAAAAAAGAGAAAGAAAAGAAAAAGAAAAGAGAAAAGAAAGAGAAAGAAAAGAGAAAAGAAAAGAGAAAGAAAAAGAGAAAGAAAAAAGAGAAAAAGAAAAGAGAAAAAGAAAAGAGAAAGAAAAGAGAAAGAAAAGAGAAAGAAAAGAAAGAAAAAGAGAAAGAAAAAAGAAAGAAAAGAGAAAGAAAAAAGAAAGAAAAAGAAAAAAAAGAAAGAAAAGAGAAAGAAAAAGAGAAAGAAAAAGAGAAAGAAAAAGAGAAAGAAAGAGAAAGACAAAGAGAAAGAAAAGACAAAGAAAAGACAAAGAGAAAGAAAAGACAAAGAAAAGACAAAGAAAAGAGAAAGAAAAGAGAAAGAAAAGAGAAAGAAAAGAGAAAGAAAAGAGAAAGAAAAAGAGAAAGAAAAAGAGAAAGAAAAAGAGAAAGAAAAAGAGAAAGAAAAGAGAAAGAAAAGAGAAAGAAAAGAGAAAGAAAAAGAGAAAGAAAAGAGACAGAAAGAGAAAGAAAAGAGAAAGAAAAGAGAAAGAAAAAGAGAGAAAGAAAAAGAGAAAGAAAAGAGAAAGAAAAAGAGAAAGAAAAGAAAGAAAAAGAAAGAAAAGAGAAAGAAAAAGAGAAAAGAAAGAGAAAGAAAAAGAGAAAGAAAAAGAGAAAGAAAAAGAAAAGAAAAAAAGAAAAAGAGAAAGAAAAGAGAAAAAAAGAGAAAGAAAAGAGAAAGAAAAGAGAAAGAAAAAAAGAGAAAGAAAAGAGAAAGAAAAGAGAAAGAAAAGAGAAAGAAAAAGAGAAAGAAAAGAGAAAGAAAAGAGAAAGAAAAAGAGAAAGAAAAGAGAAAGAAAAAGAGAAAGAAAAAGAGAAAGAAAAAGAGAAAGAAAAGAGAAAGAAAAAGAAAGAAAAGAGAAAAAAAGAGAAAGAAAAGAGAAAGAAAAAGAAAGAAAAGAAAAGAAAAGAAAAAGAAAAGAAAAGAAAAAGAAAAAGAGAAGAAAGAGAAAGAAAAAGAGAAAGAAAAAAGGCGAGAATAAAGAAAAAAGACACCGCCTGCTTTATATATATATATATATATGGTACGACTTAGGCAGACTCGTAAAACAAATTTTTGGAAATAATTTTTGTGGTTAGCATTTTTAGACCCTGCTTACTGTGCGACATTTGACAGAATAAAAAATACTGAGTTTTATTTTCTTTTTATCCTTTTAGAAAGCGGTCCTGTTGGTAATATTGATATAGTGTGAAATCGATCCTAAAAGCGTCGTGCGAAACAGTCTCAGGTGAATTGTGATAGGACAGAGTACATAACTTTCCTATTCAAATAAAAATTGTGAAAACAAGTAGTTTTACTTGAAATTCGAACTGATTGCTGTTTTCGTGATGATAAATGTGACGCCATATTGTATGGGAAATATATATATATGTATAAAAAAAGAAAAAAAAAAAAGCTTCCAGTCAGTGCAAGTATTTATCAGTGCGCCTACATCACCACCGAATGTGACACAACGTCGAAGTATAAAGTAGGTTCACCGGCAATACCGTAAAGAAATTGCTCATGCCCCCTTGGCACTTCTTTTTGGGTACGCCTCGGGTGCTGGTTAATGACCCCAGTCTTCACCCGAAGGTTTGATAGTGTTTGAAGAATGAGCCCTTGGGGCTTGAGCTGATTTTGACTGATATCTATCCTGGTAAATCCAGGATTAGGTGTAATGAGAAACAATATCTTAAGTCAACTTCAATCCATCTAAATGGATTAAAAATTGAACAACGTTTCGACCACTGTACCCGCCGGCCTTCATCAGATGTATGTCAATCTGAGTAACCTACAGATTGAATCCTTTATTTAATCTATGCTCTTGTTTAACTACCCGTGTCTAGGGATATTGTCTAGTTCTTATTTTTAATACTGTTGAGTTATTGTTCATAGTTTTCCAATGTATTTAAGTACACACTGCCTGGCCCAGGGATTGAACTCTTAATTACTTTGAAACCAAGTTCAACGCTTTAATCTGCTAGGCTATTGTCCCGTGGTAAGTTGCTGTTGCTGATGATGTAATAATAATAATAAAAACAAATTTAACACATTCACTGCTACCTTAGATATCTGTTCGCTTACATAATGCCATCGATATTTTTTGTTAGTTACTTACAAAGAGCTACAAAGAACAGGAACTTGTAGAGAGCCATGATCGCTAACATCCTGAAGGGACACGGCACATAGAAGAATAAATACAAATATGAAAAAAAATATATAACCACTTCCATTCAAATTCACAAGCAGTGGCCACTATCTTGATTATGTTCTTCGTATCTGATAAGGCACACATTTTTCAGAGATCTCCATTCACACAAGACTTGTCATGGTTCGAACCCAGGTAAAAAAAAAAAATCAAATTTAGAATGTATATTTTCAAAGTAGGCATATATCACTTGTAAAATTGACGCAACACAATCTTCCTACTCATGGCATTATTGTATACGATTCATCGCTAATTATCCTGCAAATGTGTCAGGTTCCTTAGACCGCTACAAAAAATAACTGACTCCTCTCTATATGTCTGATCTTGACAAGAGTCAGATCAGACCAAAAATGGAGTATTGCGGCCATATCTAGACTGGAGCTGCCTACACCCTCACTTATACAGACTTGACCCGATTCAAAAGTGTTTACGCGGCCTTGTGATTGAGGAATTATTTTCCATTCTACAACCCCTTTCCCCGCAGTCGAAACATTGCTCGTCTCTCACTAATCTCTCGCTATTTTCATGGCAAATGTTCAGCTGCGCTACATTTCTACGTCGCACCAACTCAAACCGTCACAGCAATGACACACCATTCTATTTACACCGTGTCGATTCATCCTCATTCCTTTCGTTTTTTATTCATAAAGAGGAATAGTTACTTTGCAAAACAGAAACCGAAGGGGATGCTTCCCGATCACTATTATCTTAACACCTTTGCTTACGCTCAGCCATTGTACAGTGTAATTGAAAAGAAACTCCCTATTTCATGCATGACAGAGACTCCCGTCTTGTAAAAATTATATTTAGACGGAAGAGTCCATCACACATAACTTAGGAACTTACTTTTCAATAACAAGGTATATCCCACATATCCTTATGCACTCATTACTTTACCCACTTCCGATAACCTGATTCAGCAACCCTCTGCCTTAAGTGGCTCTTTGGCCTTGTATTAGATGAACAATAGCATAAAAAATATTCTTCCCTCTCTTTCGCCCTCATGTCTAAGTTAGCCATGGTAAATATCTAATAAATCGTCAGTAATCGTATGCCACGCGAATTTTACATCCCCGGGTGACGGCTACGAAAAATAAAAACCCTTGGTATTTTTATAATGTAAAATACTTCATTACAGAAAAGATAGGACTACGGAGCCTAGCGGCGAGGAGGGGGGTGGGCTCGGGGTCTTTTGGCCTTCAGCTCCATTCTCTACCACCAAGAAATAGCCCGGCAGTGAATTAGTACATATTGTAATGCATAGAGTAATTCGCTGCACTTGGAATGAGGCAAGCTCCAGTAGCCAGTAAATCTCGCAATTTTAAATAACAAGCAGCATCTCGGCGAGATTACGTCGCTCAAGCGGTTCGCAGTGTCAGAGTGTGGATGTCATTACTTGAGTTAACGCTACAATAATTTCCAGTAGTCATTTCTTGAACATGATTTAATTTGATGACGAGCGCTGGGGAAATCAAGCAATGACGAATAAATTTAGAACGTAATTGCATTGAAAATTGGTCAGATTCTCCAGTGAAGGAGAAAAAATAAAGCATATTGAGTCAGGCCTCAGCTTAGTTTCTCTGTCTTAAATCATTCCGATGTATAATTCTGTAAGGACAGGAGATAAACACTGAAATACCAATTCTCTCTTGAGAGTCAATTGATGATTTGTTTGTTCTAACTTCATTCTCTTTTAAAAAAAAAAAAAAAAAAAAAGATTTTTTTAACAAAAATAAAAATGAATCCTGAGTAACATAAGCGAGTTCTAGTTGTTCAACTATTTTTACTATTTCGGGCCTTGCCGTTTTGTGCTGCTTCAATAAATATTAAAAATTGATCGATCGAAACGAATTCTGAAGATAAAAATATTCTAAATTCTGCTATTTAAAACTAAATCTATGGTTTAGTGTTAAAACACAATCCATTTGGCTCAGCTTTAAGCGTTATTCTGTTAGAGTTGTAGAGATTATGTTCATTCATTTATTGAAAATAACACAACTTGGTCAATTTTACAGTATTCACATAATTCAGACTATTGTCCTCATCTTTGTTGCAATATTTATCACAACATTTCAGCCGTTGTCCGCTCCGGCCTTCTTCAGGTGGTAGGGATATCGAACTTAACCTTTTATTTCGCTCGCTGGGAGAGACTGTTCTAGTTCTCAAGGACACATGGCGCAGTGCCTAAAGGCGTTAGTTAGATTCAGTGACAGGACCCAAAGAGTGCGAGTTCAATACCTGGTTAAGGCAGTGGAGAATTTGGAAAAAGGCATTAACAGGAGAGACGTGGAACTAGAACAGTCTACGCCAGCGAGCGAAATAAAGGATTCAGTTCGACATTTCAACCACCTGAAGAAGGCCGAAACGTTGTGATAAATATGGCAACAAAGATGAGGACAATAGTCCGAATAATGTAAATAGTGTACATAATACCTCATCTCAGAAATATAGACAGATACTGAAAGGCCAAAACGTTGTAATAAATATGGCGACAAAAATGAGAACAATAGTCCGAATAATGTAAATAATGTACATAATACTTCATCTCAGAAATAGATAGATATTGGTCAATTTTTGTGTCAAAAGTCCTCGTCGTCTAACATTGTCCAGATCCATGTTTGTTTTTTTTCTTTTCAGTCTATTTTTTTTTTAGACTAAAACCTAATTTAGCATGAAATTTTGAGGCAATGTATTTTTTATTTTATACCTACGTGCAGTGTCCTTTCAGGCCCTCCTTTCTCATTATGTATCCGAGAAACTTCAGTTGCCTTTTCCTGATCATGGCTCTCCACAATTTCTTGTCCTTTGTATCTCTTGATAAGTTTCGTCTTTTTGTTAACTACCCTTGTTTCGCCATTTATTTACTCAAGTTCACTAGGTAGGTTATGCGTTGTTTTCCTGTCACTCTTGCCTTCAATTTCTCTTGTGAGTATCAAATTTTCTAAGCCCTCTTTCCTCCTTATGTGATTTAGAAATCTCAACTGTCTCTACCTGGTGTTAAGTATCCTTTTTTTTTGTTTCCAATTCCCCTGAAACTGTATATTGACAAATGCACAATTCAAAAATGAAATAAAAGAAATTATCAAAAAGCAGTAAAATAACCAATTATCAAAACCCATGTGCAGTTTACCTTCAGGACGGAAGCGGTCGTGACTCTCCACTATTTCCGTTCTTTTTACCTCTTAATAAATTTTTCTTTCCCACCTTTTGCTGTTTCAGCATCCATTTACTTAAGCTAGCTTGGTGGGTCACGTTTTGTTTTCCTCTGTTCCTCTTGCCTTCAATCTGTCTTGTGAGTATCAAATTTTCCTTAGTATGCGTCCTGGAAATGCCAACTTTCTTTACTTTATGTTAAATACAAGTGTTCTTTTTGTTTACTTTTTTCTCTAAACCTTCATCTTTGCTAATGTGTTCGGTCCATGTTATTCTCAGCATCCTTCTGTAGAACCACATTTCTGTTGCTTCAAGTCTCTTCTCCATCTGCGAGAAGATGGTCCAGCAGCCACTGACATATAAAAGGATTTATATTACGTAACAGTTCAGTACTCTTATTTGTTTTTAACAAATCTTTTCCTATGTCTTAATACTTTGCTTAGATTTTGGAAGGTATCTTTCGCTATCCCTATGCGCTTTCGGTTTTCGGGGTTACATCCTCCGTTAAAAGTCTTCCTAGATATTTAAATTGCTGTACTTGATTGGTTTATGTATTTCCAATTTGTAATTTCCATGTTGGGCTATTCCTTTTGCTAACAACCATGGATTCTGTCTTTTTGCAATTGATGTTTAGACCTTTCTTCTCGCTTTCCTTTTGAAGGAGTTCTTGGAGTTTCTTTTCTGTGTCTGCTATCAGCACTTGGTCATCTGCATATCTGATTTTGTTAAGATTGTGGCCGCGAATAATGAATCCTGCTAGGACTTCTAATTCTCTCAGAATCACATCATTGCATAGGTTGAATAACTCTGGTGAGAAGAAACGCTTGTGTCTTACACCTCTTTCTGTTTTTGTCTATTTACTGAAATCATTTTCCATCCGTATACAGGAGGTTCACTTCCAGTATAGGTTCCTGGTTACTTTAATATCCTTTCCAAATATGCCAAGGTTCTTTGTGGTGTACTTTCTTTTCTTTTTATGTGCCGTGCCCTATCAGGATGTAGGCTATCATGGCTCTCCACTTCTCCCTATCCCTTGTGGCTCTCAATAAGTTTCGTCCTTATGCCACCTCCCCCAGACCACATTGTCATCCACTTGCTTAACCCCATCAGGTATGTCACGCGTTGCTTTCCCTTGTCTCTCTTGCCTTCTATTCGACTCGTGAGTATCAGATTCTCCAGGCCCTCCTTTCTCATTACGTGTCCCAGAAGTTTCAGTTGTCTCTTCCTGATGTTAAGTATAAGCCTCTTCCTTGTTTGCATCCTTCCAGGACCTCATTGTTGTTCATATGCTCGGTCCATGACATCCTCAGCATCCTTCTGTAGAACCACATCTCCATCGCTTCGAGTACCTTCTTCGTCTTTAAGGAGACCGTCCATCATTCGCTGCCATAAAGGAGGACAGCTGTCACGTAACAGCTCAATACTCTTTTCTTTTTTTTTTTTATGTTACCAAAGAAATACTCCTGTCTCGCAATACTCTGCCCAGCTTTTGGAATGCGTCCTTGGCCATCATAATACGTCTACGGAGATCAGTGTCACACTTACCATCCTCTGTCAAAACACTTCCCGGGTATTTAAGCTTCCGCACCTGCTTGATTTTAGTGTCCTCGGCCTGCAAATCTCATTTTGGGCTCCTCTTTTTACTGATGACCATGCATTCTGTCTTCTTGTAGTTTATGCTTAGTCTCTAATTCTCACACTCCTTCGCCACCTTCCGCAGGAGGTTTTGTAATTTCTTTTCCGTGTCTGCCTGCGTATCTTATGTTGTTAAGGTTATGGCCAATGTTGAATCCCGGTAGAATTGCCATTTCTCTCAGAATTGTCTCGCTGTATAGGTTGAACAGGTCTGGTGAGAAGACACATCCTTGCCTTACATCCCTTTCAATTTTTGTATATTTTCTGTACTCATTCTCCAACAGATCCTTGTAGCGTACTTTGTTGAAGGCCTTTGCGTAGTTTATGAAACTTAGGGAAACGTTCTTCTTTATTTGCATTGCACTTTCTGATAACATTCTGAGCATGAATATCGCGTTCCTTGTCCCGATGTCTTTAACGAACCCGCACTGTTCTTGTCCTATCTCTGGCATGATACTGCTGAGCACTATTCATCAGAATACGGGTGATGAGTTTTGTTACGTGCCTCGTCAGGCTGATTGTTCGGTAGAATTCTCATTCGTTTATGCCTGGTTTCTTAGGCACTGTTATGAAGATAGATCTGCTGAGATCTTCCGGTATATCCCCACAGTTATAGCATTCAAACGCTTTTGCATCATCACATCTTTCTGCATTTGTATTGAACTTTCTTAAATCGTTCTGAACATAGATATCGTATTTCCAGTCTAATTCTGCTGCACCTTCTATTTATCAGAACTCGGATGGTAAGTTTTGTTAAATGGTTCATTAGGCTGATTGTCCGATGAAGTTTATATTTGTTTGCACCTGGCTTCTTAGGCAGAGCTATCAAAATAGATCTACTTAGGTTTTCCGGTATACCACCACTGTTGCATAATTTATTTATTATGTCTGTAATCATTTCAATGCTGAAATTATCTATCTGGTCCGGCTGATTTGTTTCTGTTCAATTTGGCCAGTACCGATTTCACTTCAGATTTTAATATTTCCAGTCCTTTGATATATTTCTGTGTATTACCAGTTGTTCTCTTTCAGTGTGGAAGAGTTCTACAATGTATTCGTTCCATCTCTGAAGTACCTTTTCTTTCCTCGATATTAATATCCCGTTCTAAGATTTTATGCATTCTGTTAATGAGCATGTCTTTGGCCTGTTCTCACATATGTTTTATCTGTGACACCCATTCTTTCTATTTCTGCACATTTTCGTTGAGCCATTCCACTTTAGCCTGCCTGCATTTCTTCCTAATTTCTTTGTGCAGAGTTCTATAATTTGTGCCATACCTTGGCATTGTTTTTTTTTGTCTCCTTTTCACCATGTTGATAATTTCAACATTCATCGTTCTTTTTTCTTTCTCAATTTTTTTCTTTATGTTGATCTCGATTGCGGATATTACTAAAGCTTCTCTTAATGATTTCGATTTCGAGTTTCCATTCTTAGTTTGCCCATTGTACGTCTTTTTAACACTGTTTACATATTTTTGCTTTACATTTGGGTCATTCAGGAAACTGCCGTATTGCAATGTACATGTTGCATTGTAGTTTCTAAGTTAACATATAACTGGAAGATCGTCGCTCCTGCAGTCGTCTCTTGGATAGGTATTACAATTAAAATCTGCTTTCCTGAATCTCGTGTTGATAAATAAAAAAAACTACGATATAATTATCTATTTTTTTTTTCTTTCTTCACCTGGGCTTCCATATACATCTTGAGTGTTCTTGAAACCAGGTATGGACTACTACCTGATCATTCAGCGTGAACAATTGGACCCATTATTTTCCACATCCATTCGGAGTTCCTAATTCAAATTTGCCAATTATTTCATCACCTCTCTCCCTCCTATACTTTGGTATTTCCTATAATAACTTAGCTATAAGATTTCCAGACAAAAAAAACTTTTGAACTAGTGATCAGAAATTATGACCCGTTGTATGCACACTAAAAAGTTCCTTTTGAGTTAATTTGAAGTGAGATAAAAAGTACGTTTGTATATTTCATTTAACCCCCACAAATACATTTCCAGTACACTTGATTCTCCCCTTCTCCTCCTCACCTACCACAACTCACGTCGTGCGCTTATAGCATTCATTAAAAAAAAAAAAAAGCGTTAGAAAATCAATTGACGAAAATCAGTTGAAGATGCCGAAAGGTTGAAACAAATATCGCAGAAACGGGTGATTTTCGAATTTTCTATACTACTGAATATATTTCAGACCGGTAAATGTTTAATACTGTTTATTATAAAACAGAGCATTTACTTAAATATTCGTATCTATAAAAAGAATGTATAAACAGAAAAATATTTTTAGATAGAGTTATTTTTCAATCATTTTTTTAAAATCTTATTTTTATGGATACTCATATTCAAGTAGAATTTTTTTTTTTTTTAAACAGTACTTTTTTTATCCAAACACTTCTACCGGCCTGAATATCCAAGAAATTTTGTCAGAAAAATATGCGTCCACCGGCGGTAGAGAGAATGAGAGAGACACATAAAGAAGATAGAGAGAGACACATAAAGAAGATAGAGAGAGACACATAAAGAAGATAGAGAGAGACACATAAAGAAGATAGAGAGAGACACATAAAGAAGATAGAGAGAGACACATAAAGAAGATAGAGAGAGACACATAAAGAAGATAGAGAGAGACACATAAAGATAGATTTTTTAAATAAAAATTTTCCTATGAAAATGTTTGCTTGTAATATTATTAATGTCTAATTTTTAGCGATTTATATTTCATCACTTGTATTCATTTATCAGTCTGGATATTTAATACGGCATAAACCAAAACTGCAGGCCATTCACAGGAGTTCAAGAAGATAGTCACCTTTACTGACTTGCAAACCATCTGCCTGTACAAGGCGCCTATTATATTATTGTTATATTTAAAATGCGTGATTTTTGTGTGTTTTTTTTCTTTTCAGTTTTAGCTAAAATATTCACTTTTATCATTTCTGTAAAAGGGCATTGAATATACAAAATTTCAATTAAAATAAGATAGAATATACGAACTGTCACATAAATATTTGAAATGCCGTATCTGAAGGTGAATAACCAAGACAAATACGTTATATGCTGTAAAAGCAGTCCAGGCAGAGTCAGGTGATTTCACTCGTTAGATAACTTATGTGCCAACGTGAAAGGACCGTTAAGATGTCCAGAATGAAAGAAAAAACAAAACAAAAAAAAAACAAATACTGCTGACAAATATTGGAAATTTATCAGAAATGAGAAAACCAAAAGAAATAACCAAATTCTAATAATAATCGATACAGAATAATGATGTATCGTCTTTCAATCTCTGCTATTTGCGATACTCTGCTAGTGACATGAAAATTATGAACCTTCGTAATACAAGCAAAGTGGGAATTGCTCAGTTTTCATTTAACCATATTTTGAAGGAAGTTCCAGAAGTCAGTGAAAACTCAAAAACTATCTTTGGTCCCAAAAAGGAAGGTTTCTATTATGAAAAGGTCCATACCTAATATGTACCTAGGAGCGGACATGCTTGAAAATCAAATTAACTTTGCAAGACATTTGATTCCAAGAGTAGGATCCATATACACGGATTTGATGTTTATAAGAAGACTTGTTTTAGAGTGAGGCCATTATACACAGTGTTTACTTTGTTGATAAAAGTGCACAAAACAATGAAAATATTATTTGGATTACAGGCATGGGTAAATGCTTAGCGCGGCTAATCTGTTTATTATTACTGCTATAACATGCGTTCGATTCTCACAGGGTACCCAGACAAAAATTCTACATTCTGTATGCACACTTTCATGAATTTGATCTATCTATAAAAGGCAGTGTGTGTGCGTAACGAATGCACGGCCGCAATTTTCGACGGATTTGCACCAAAATTTACATGCACAAAGTTAGCGGGAAGACCAAGACCGACTTTGCATTTCCCAACTCCCATCGATAGTGGAAATAATCGATTTTTTCATGTTTCTATGGCAGTTTTCATGTAGTTTGCGGCCATTTTCTACTGGCCAGAGTAGAGCCTATAGCTGGCTGCCACGAATAGGCATGAAGATTCTATTGGCCAGCGTGAGAGCCAACAGCTGACTGACACGAATGTTAACTAGCATGCTAGCACGCAAAAAAAAAAAAATCGATAGCTGCATTCGTCGCAAGTGGAAAAGATTTAAATCTGCATGGCACTTTATTCCAATTGGCTGATTCGCTTGCTTAAACTCAACGTTGATTCTGATTCCACAGAACTGGGTTGGGTGTGAAAAAGTTTGTTATTCTTTTTTCATTCGGTTTTTCAAGTTACGAGTCCTTTTTTACAGCTGATCGTTTTGTGTTCATTTTGTTTAGTTCTTTTTTCGTAACAGATTTAATGTTTAGTATAGAGCTTAGAAAAAAATCGCAGTGTGAGATAGGCAAGAAGTAAGGCATGTAGCAACATCAGCACGGCAAAGGGCACTCCTTTAAAGTCAAGGAAGGGCAAAAAATTTTTAAGTCAACTGATAGCGATTGCTGTATGAGTCGTACGATTTTTTAATCAAGCACGGGCAACGCCGGGCCATGCTGCTAGTGTTTAATAAAGCACTGGCCAAATTGAACAGAAACAAAGCAGCATAACCAAGATAAAAAAGAAAAGAAAAATACAACAGAAGTCTTTTAAATGGGGGGGTAGTCTTATATAAAATCAGACTTAAATTACTGATGCCAGCGAGAAATATATATATATATATATATATATATATATATATATATTTAAATCCACCCGGTCGACTCCGTTTACTTATTATTTCCGTCTTCCCAGTTAGAATGTTTCACTTAATATTTACCTCTACTTATTATCTTTCAATATTCATCTTTTTGTAGAGACACCATTCTAATTCTTATTAAAAAAAGAAAAAAAAAACGTCAACTCGTTTGGTAAACTAAGCAGAGAAAGTAGTTTCACCAGTATCATTTTACTAACATTCGACTCTAGTCTCCAGTATTCAGCCATTATGTCAGATGCTCGGACGAGTTACATCCCCTAGTTCCACCATATCATGTTCTTGGTGGCAAATAATCATTTCCTTCGTATTCATTTGATAACGAATAAGTTCCACCCAGGCAGCAGCTTCTACAGAACTGTTACTTTGTGGAACAAAGTCGCGAAAAAGATGCTTCCCTAACAACTACAATCTTGGTCTCTTCCAGTCCAGGGTCAACTATTTATCCTACACATCCTCATAATGTGCACTTATTACTCCCTTCTTTACCCTCACTTACAACAGTCCTGCTCAGTAACGCTCTACCATGAATGGCTCTTTTTCCTTGATTTGAGTGAACTAACAGTATATAAATAAATAAAAAAAAAAAACATTGTTCAACACCGATTCCATAGGCAAACAGATCTCCTCTTATGTGATCGTATGTCGACTCCCAGTAGAGCATAGAAGACAGCCTAAATGTTGCTACTGCGGTTTCCATAACACATAGGTTTTTATGGAGTGTAATTGCCCCACATCTAACTGGTATTTAACTGAAGCTGTTCTAGATTAATTGGTTGTTACACAAAGCCAAAAAGCCCAGTCTTCCTTACTACTAATCCCTAATTATGGAGAAGAGGAGTTATTTGTGGAGTTACACCACTTACTTTCCTAAAACAACTGCCACTAGGAGACGCTTCCTCAGCCTATAAATAGGAAGTAACATTCTCTGTCATCCTCTCTTTCCGTTCATTTTCTCTAGCTTTCAGATGTAGGTCGCACGTAGATAAGAACGCTGCCGCTGAAACGCGTTCGCTTCTCTTGGTCCTCTGTTGACTTTTGAACTCTCTCACGCACCTATCTATCATCCACGCTTGTTCCATTTCTACACCACCATCTACACTAGTTTAAATGTTTTTTCCTTCATGCTCATTGTTTTGTAACAGGAAACAATATTCTATTGCCTATATATACCCTTGTTTTGTTAATACATACTTATCGTTTATTTATATATATATATATATATATATATATATATATATATATATATATATGTGTGTGTGTTTTGTTGTTATTTGTTCATTTATTATTCGGACTCACATTCCGAGTCCGCCATTTTTTTTCTGTGGGATAAATATACCAGGAGATACGCGTTTTCCACCTTAACACTCGACTAGCATACTCCCACAACAAATTCACCCGATAGTAATTATGTATGAGTTCAAAGAAAAAGCCCCTATGCTTAGTGAGACCATGGATAAAAATACTTCCTCTTCTGGATATTTTTTTAGAATACTTCTTTTTTTTTTTTTTTTTTTTTAAATAATTTCAACCCAAGTTTAGATTTTAGGAAGGAATTTGGCGCAAGGGGTTATTGAGAGTGAAAGAGAAGGAGAAAACTTTAGTGAAAAGAAAGGACAATAAAAGAACAGGATTCAGGCAGAGAGAAGATGCGATTGTAGGTGGCAGGAAAGCAAGACATCAGAATGAAGTTCTACAGGCGAGAAGTACGAGAAAAGAAACTATTAGAATAGAACTTGCGGTAAAATCTAGCTCTTTTCAGCAGTAAAATGATGAGAGCCATTTGCCAATCAAATATTATGCTTAAATTCATGCAATGTACGGAGCTAGGTGGGATGGAAAGTTCATTAGAACAGCTAGTAGAAAAATATTTGTAGAATAGACAGAGGAAAGCCGCGTTACGGAGGCGGGAAAGTGACTGAAGTCAAGACGCCAGGTCAGAACCAATAACAAATAAACAAAAACCCTACCCTACTTCGGATTTTGTCAAGAATCTCGAAATATATGATAGCGGTACAAGACCGGCCATGTCAGCAATTTCCAATGCACAAACGAAAGGTAGATTTTTAAATGTCTAAGATGGATACTGACGATAAAAAAAATTGTCTAGCACGACGCAGGGAAATAACTTTCCTAGCAGTAGACCTAGCAATTAATTCAATAGAATCACTCCACTTATCAGTGAAAAATGTGAGACCAAGAAATCGCAGTTAGTTGCTCTCTTGGAGGTTAACATCAGTCGTGCCAATGGAAGGCAAAAGCCATTCCTTGTCCTGGTTTATTTTAAAGAAATGTATCTTTATAAGAAAGATAAGCCTTCTCAACTTGTCGCTTCCGCAACTCTTTTGAGGAGACCTACGCTCCATTTTTTTTTATTATTTTAAAAATATTCCCGGTGTTTTCTAACTTCAGCTTATGAGGACACAAAGATGCAAAATATTTACAATAACCGGTGTTATTAAGCTGTTATCAATCATAATGCCGACATTGTCTCTCTTTTATAAGTGATTTACCTTTTTCTCTTAATTTTAACAGAAATTGATTAAAATATATATCCATATATTCAACTCTGTTTTCCACCTTATCACCGAAGTTAAGCGATGAACCTGAGCAGTACTGAAATGGGTGACTACTTCAGAATAATAGGTATCACTATTTTTTTTTTTGCTTGTGTGCGTTATTTTGCCGTATACCTTCAGGGCGTAAGCAATTATGGCTCTCCACATATCCCTTTTCTTCAGTATCAGTGAATTGCCAAAACTATGGAAGTTATTTTTCTCTTCCTACTCTTCTCCCTTCTTCACATCCTCCTCCTTTTCTATTACACCAAACGACGTGCGTGCGTTTTATTTTTTTTTAAATAATATAGCGTTCATTAGTTTTTTAAGAAAATCAGTGTTAAGAGGTCA